AAACAAAACATAGCAAAAATGCTCAGTAAGTTAATCATAGAAGGAACAAAACTCAACATGACCAAGTTCATTTAGGATAAGCCAATGACTAATGTCATACTGAACTTAACCAAAGAGATGAACAGTTCCTGCAATGAAAATGACAAAACATTGATAAAAGTAATTGAAGACAGAAAAACAATCAAGTCTGTGTATTCATGGATCTGAAGAACCAAGATTGTTGAAATATCTCTACTGCCCAATATGACCTACAGATTAGATGTAAGCTCTATCAAAATGCCAATTGCATTCTTCAGTAAACTAGAAGATAAATATAAAATTCACCTTACCCCCTCCTCTTGTCCAAAAAGCCCTAAATAGTCAAAGTTACTTTGAAGAAGAGCCAAAACAGAAAAAAATCACTGATTTTCAAATATATTGCAAATGTACAGTAATCAAAACAGCATGTCATTTGCATAAAAACAGAACAAAAAAATGAATGAAATAGTAGTGAGAACCTGAAAGTTAGCATACACGTGTCTACAGATAAGTGACATTTGACAAAGCTTGTAAGAATAGATGTTGCATGAAGTATAGACATAGTCTTTGTAAGGAAGTAATGTTGGGAAGATCAGAACCACATGTTGAAGAATGTAGCTGGATCCTTATCTCTAACCGATTACAAAATAACAAGAATCAAATCAAACACTTAAATGCAAGATCTGAAAAACCGATCCTACTGGTAAAAGACATAGAACAGACATAGAACCAAGACACTGGAACACACAAATTACAAATTCTTTTATAACACCCTTAAAGAACAGGAAAGCAAGCAAAATAAATGTAGCAAGGGAACAATTAACAAAGCATAGAGACAATGTAAATAACAGAATAAAGTATTGTGAGTTATGTATCTGACAAATGGTTGATACCTAGAAAATATAAGGATAAGGAACTCAATAACAAGAATAACAAATAACATAACTTTGAAAATAGGCAATAGACTTAAATAGAACTTTCTCAAAAGATGTACAGGAATAGTCAAGTTACACCAAAAATGCTCAACTTAGTAATTATTATAGAATGGGAAATAAAAACTGCAATGATATCCCCTCATCCCAGAAATATAGTTATTGTAAAATTGTTCAAAGTTCTACTGAGGTTGTGCAGAAAAGGGAACCACTGTACAATGTTGGTAAGAATAAGTATTTGTTCAGCCACTAGGGAAACAGTGTAGCAGTCCCAGAAGAGTTAAAAATATAACTCGCGTATGATGGACCAATCCCAGTGATGGCTATATGTCTGTGCCAAGGAAATATAATCAGTACGTCAAAGAGACAAGTGTATTCCCATGTTAACTGCAAGACTGCTGCCATAGGGCATGATGTGTAAGCAACCTAAGCATCCATCAGTTGAGCAGAAAAAAGAGAGTCTGGTACTGACACATTGGGGCACTCTTTGGCCACAAAGGAGAGTAATTTCTGTCATTTTTCACAGAATTAAAGATTGCTGAGATTGGTGAGATAAGCCAGGCCCAGAAGGACATGTACAGCACACATCCAGACATTTTATTTCAGAGGTTGCTCTTACAGAAGTTTTCAGTAGGGTGGTGGTTACCTGGAGATGGAGACAGCAGAAGTGGGGGGAGGCAATGTGAGTCAGTAGTTAATAAGCTACAATGCAAACGGAGACATGCGTGCTCATATTCCATTGCAGGGGAGGATTTATTTATTTATTTATTTATTTATTTATTTATTTATTTATTTATTTATTTATTTATTTATTTATGTTCAGAGATGAAAGCCAAGAGGTCAGAGCAATAGCTAAGAGCAAAAATCCTTACCCTTCACTGTCGCTGTTGTCCTACCTCTTCGAAAGAGAACTACTTCCTGTGTGTTTGTGCTTTTTATTGACTTTCTATTCTGCCTTCTCATTGGTTGTAAACCCAACCACATGACCTCCTCATCACTGCCCGTCTGTACAGACCTCTAGGTCTTCTATGGTTGGTATTGAGATTAAAGGCGTGTGTCTCCATGCTGGCTGTATTCTTGAACACACAGAGATCCGCCTACCTCTGCCTCCCAAGAGCTGGGATTAAAGGCATGCACCACAAACGCCAGGCTCTGCTATGGCTTGCTATTAGCTCTGACCCCCAGGCAACTTTATTTATTTATTAACATACAAATAAAATCACATTTCAGTACAAATAAAATGTCACCATATTTCCCCTTTTCTATTTTAATAAAAAGAATTAATGTGAGGTCGAACTATTGACCTTGTGTACATCCTACTTCACAAATGAGTCTGTCAGACACGCTAAGCCTATAGGCTGAAGATGATGCCCCAACACTGCAGAGAAACCTCAGGCAGCTGGCTGTTTCTGTCAACACACATTTTTTTGGAAGCTGCTTGCATGCACTTCCTGTTTTTATTTTTTATAAGGTAATATTATTTCCTTCTTGGGTCTCTGAGGGAGTTGAAGATTATTTAGTTATAGTTGAAGGTTAGTTAGTTATAGTTGAAGATTAGTTAGTTATAGTTGAAGATTAATTAGGATAGAAAGTGAATTAGGTACATTTTGGATTTACCAAAATAGGATAGATAATGGAATTATTTTCTCTGAATTTGTCAAATACAAATGGACTAGACATTGTTTAGGTATTTATTACTTGTGTATATTATATATAGTTAATGTACTTTTGTATATAGTTTTTCTGATGTTAGTTATAAGCAGGGGAGGATTTAAAATAACATTTGTTTCAAAAACTCTAAGAAAAGTTGTGAATCCTTTGACCACAAAGAAAGAATAAAAGTTTGAGCAACAAATTCGAGGATGCAGGCAGATGGTTCTTCTAGTAAAAGCACTTCCAACAGCAAGCTTGGTAACAAGAACTCAGTCCCTGGGGCCCGTGTTGAGGTGGAAGGAGAGAACTAACTTCACAAAGCCACCCTCTGGTCACCACACACACATTATAAAGCTTTTAAAACTATGTTGAATAGAATAGTGTTGCATACAAAGGCCATCTACAGAAATATATGCATGTATTGAAACATCACATATTACCCTGAAAATATGGACATCTTTTCATTTTCATTTATTATCTAAGAAAAATACATTGAATTAAAATATATACCCTATAAACATACATTTTATAATTCTTTCTTTCATAATATGTAATAACAATAACAAATGACAATAAAATCCCCCCCAAAGAAGTAGAATCTTAGTAGCCAGAAATTGAAAACTTTAATTTTCACTAATGACTAGCTAATTTTTGTACCCAAGTGATTCTCTTTTCAGCTCATCTCACACAAACTCATTGTCATAGAAGGAAGTATAAATGTTATGCCTAAGAATTATTGCAAAGAATACTTACACATTCAGGAAAAAAATACAAGCAAGATAAAAATGAGGAAAGTATCATTACTGATATTTGGGGGCCACAAAACAGTTTTACCACACAGCTTTGATAAATAAACAATTGTAGCATTTATCTGTATATTCAGTCATTCTCTTCTGTCAATATGCTGATACACAGTAAGGGGCCTATTGTGTCAGTCCTTTGGTATGACCTTGTTCTCTGATAAGCCTGCATTTCTTGTCTTATTTCAAGACTTCTGTCAAGATAGGCACCAGGCTCCTGTGCACTATATTCTGTGTCAAAAGCACTTGTCAAATGCTAAAGCTTGTTACCTTAATTTCTTAAAACAGAGACTGAGAAATCTTTTGTCACTGATGCTAAACCATATGGGTAATGGTTTGATATGTGTATGGATGTGTGTGGGACAAATACTTCTGCATGAATATCTAAAAACAAAAAACAAAAAACCTCTGAAATCAAATTACAGCCTAGGAAAATATCTGCAAATACCCCCTTTGGTGATTGTTGGTGTTTACTTCTACTGGAGGGTAAGGATCAGATGTGTTAGTTTCTAATATTGGTACTAGTTTTTCTGTAGTGACGTTTAGGCTGAACAGAGGTAGAAAACTTAATAAGCCTAATACTTCTCTCTGAGTTTTAAAGACTGCTAACTCTCCAATGCATAGTAAAACTAAAGCACCTTGTCAAATAACTCAAGCCTTATACCAATCTCTAAGATTAACTTGACATTCAGAACCTCTGTGGAGTTACAAAATACACCTCAGCTCACTCTGTGGTTCCCATGCCAAGTAATTCGGTTTAGAAGCTTAGGTTTAATTATAAAGGCCAGTAGTGCTCATATTTTTAACATTTAATTTTCTTTTTTGTTTTATTTTTGAGATTATAATGTAATTACAACATTTCTCTCTTTGCTTTCTTCTCTCTCTCCAAAGCCTCCCACATAATCCTCCCCACTCTCCTTCAAATTAATAGCCTCTTTTTTCTTCGTTATTGCGTGGATATGTATATACACACATATTCCTAATGACTTATCTATTTTTCTATTCTAGCATACTTGGATGTCATTGAGAATTTTCTCAAAGGGAATCTGCTTTGTTTTCAAACTTTAATTTCTGAGATATATGTAGGAAGCAAACACAACAGGTTCAATATGGTACTAGGAATTATAAGGAACTAAAGAAAGTGAAGGTGAATTCTTGCCACAATAAGGTTATAGTCATCCATCTGGACTCTGTCTTTGAGCAAAGAAGTTTTTCTTTAATAAATAAGTAGTGGCTCAGATCCTGCTCACTTCCAAAAACGGAATTTTCAGTTCGGTTTCTTTTTTTTTTTTTTTTTTTTTTTTTTAGCATTTTGTACACGAATGTTTATTTCTCAATTAAACATTCCCTTTAAACACAAGGAATGAATTCTAAATCTTCATAAGGATGAATAAAAAATGACACCCCTCCAGTATAGTGTGTGTAATCACTGTGTCCTTGGTCACTACTGGCGTTTACTGTTTAACGTCAAAAACAAAAGTTATTTAAAAATCATGCTACTGGATTTCTACCCCCTCCTATGACCAGCTCTACACTGATCTGCAATGTTTACAAGTTTATATCATCAGATCGAAGCAAGTTTAAGGTGTGAAACAGCTGTGTATTAGACACACAATAAAATTACAAGATATAGTCAAGTTCGTATCGAATATAGGTGTTCTTATCGTCATTGTAGATTCTTGGGTAATGTGCTATGAGAGCGTCCTGGGAGCCAATGTAGATGGAGTTGTAAATTTTCCAATACACATCTCTGACTTTCCGAGCTGGGTGAAAGAGACCCTGTAAGCAATACTGCAGCATTCTGCATGGTCCAATAGCCACTCTCAGGCCCTCCAGAGCTCCCATAACTGCCTGGATTACATGGGGAGATGTCTCAAACACATTAGGCCATACATAGTTCAGTAAGTGATTCAGAGAGTCTTCACAGCCAAACCCATACACACCAAGAGACATGTGTTGTACCACTGCACTAGCTGTCTGTCTGTGCACGAGGTCCCTATCCATTAACGCATCCTCAAGTAAAGGCGTCACAGCATAGATGTAGTCTTTTCCCATTTCACCAATATACTCAAACAAGAAGGAGAGCGATTTTAACACTCCATTTTGAACATTGAGTTCAGGAACTCTGTATTCATTCATTAAAGCAGGGAGTACTGTGAAGGGTGAGCACGTCTCCGCAACAATGGCAATGGCTACAGTAGTACACACTCTGTTCTGCCTTTCCTGAACTTTGAGGTTGTTTAAAAGCGTAGCCAGTACATCGTGAGGGCCAATGGCCTTTGCAATGTAACCAAAAGTGTTGACAGTAGCTCTTCGAATAGCTTTCTTGTGAGCTTTTAAGAGTTCTAAAAGCTCAAAGCAAATCCTCATCCACTCTCTTGCAGACACATATTCAGCTCCCCTGTCAGCAATGCGTCCAACAAGGTCGATACAATTCTCTTGTACTTTTTCATGCCTGTTCTTTAAGATGGGTGTGAGTCTAGGCAAGAGATCTTTAATTGGTGGTGTCATCTTATGCATACCTATTACATTTACAATGGCCTTCAGTGCTCCAAGAATGCTGCCCAATACTTCAGGGTATTCTTCACCCAAATATTCATACAGCACCACACCCAAGTGCCCCATCAGTTTTTCCTCTTGACAAGTCTTCATAACAACAGCAGTTCTGGAAATCAAGTCAGCTGCTTGTTGCCTAACTTTTGCTGATTTGTTATTTAAACGCCACAAAACAGTACCACAGATCTGAGGCAAGTACGGTTTGACTCGTTTGCCAAGAGCATTAACTACTGTGCCAAAGCCATTCAACATTACTGAATCCTCTGTAGTCTGTTCTTGGAAAGCATAAAGAATGCCATCAATCAGTTGTTCTTCCAGTTTATGATCAATGTCTGCTGCACCTAGGTTGCCCATAATTTTCTCAATTGTCTCCATCACCATTTTCCTGTACTGCTCAGCTTCATCTTTCAGATCATCCACAATCCTAGATATAATTTCTGCTGCTCCCACTTTGTTTGCCAACTCCACAGTGGTATCAACTAACTGTCGGTAATTTCTTCTATCCAGAGCCATTCTGTGTTGCCAGAAGTGTTTAAAGAAAGGCGGAAGAATTTCTGTTTTAATGTAGTTTGCTTCTACACCATCTGTTCCACAACACTGTTTCACCACCTTCAATACAATTTTCTTCATTTCTTCATCTGGAGACTGGAATTCTCGAATAAGGATTAACATCACTTCTCTGGTATAGTAGTTGGCATATTCTGCATCCATAAGAGGAATAAGATACCCAATAGCCTTTAAGAAAGCGGCCAAACCCTTTCCTCTGTGTTGGCGGATACCCTTCCATAGAGGCTTGAGCACGGAGTCAAACGATTCGATACCATAAGGAGTCGCTGCTTCAGCCAAAGCAGCAATAGCCAAAGCACTGATGGTCCGAACTTTCTGCTGTTCATCCACAAGACCGTGTTCAATGATTTCAACTAAACTTCTGAGATGTGGCAAGATAGCACAGCCCATAAGAATAGCTATCTGTTGTACAATCTTAATACCAGTGTGCCTGGCTTGCCAAGACTTCTTGCTTTTGCACACAGCTTTTAAGAAGGGCAATAGAGAAGGAATGCCCAGGGCAGAGGCTACAACAGCAAAAGCTCTAGCTGTTGTGTTTCGGACATACTCATCCATGTTATCTATATCAGGTCTCATGGTGGAAATCATAGTAGCCAGACCAGCAGCCTTTGCCAAGTTAGAAATAATCTCTCGGCCTTCCACTCTGGCATAGTAATCTTCATCAATCAGCAGCGGCTCGATGACCACAAGAATCTTGTGCACATATGGCCGTACTAAGTCATCAAGTTTATACAATATCCTATCAATAACTTTCACAAGTAAATGACGCTCTTGATCCTCAAGTGTAGGAGACATCAGCAGAGGAAGAATCTGGTTAAACAAAGGTCCAGCCCCAAATTCTCGAGCTTTATCAGTAATCTGACGTAAAGCAGCCTTTCTCATTGGAGGTGTACCATTCTTAATTTTTAAAAGCAACTTCATTATTTTTCTCTCTTTCTGCTCTTCTGGACTAAGTGTTGATTCATCAACATCAACCAATAGTTTATCAAAGTACTGAATGTCATCAGGTTTTAAAAATGGCAGGTTCCCAGACGGCTGGTCATTAACACTTTTCATCGTTCTATCCTCAGTTTGCATGTGGAAACCAGTCATACCGCCCAAAGGTGTGGGAGTTGCTGTCAGCTTCCGAGCTGGAGTTCGAATAGGAACATAACCGGCTGGAGGGGGAAGGACCTTATATCCTTCTGGGAACATAGCATCTAATTCTTCATCAGAAAGTGGGCGGTTTCGCTCATCAATTTCTCTCTCCCATCGCCAAGCCTGAAGCTGTTCAGGAGTCATGCTCATTATGTGACCTGGAGTGGGGGTAGCCATGTTCATGGCTGGTGTGCCGATTGGGGTTTTTCCTGGAGTCAGAACAGGAGTGCTTCCCCCCATCTGACTAGCTGGTGTTTCATCCCAACGAGACTTTCTTTTACTTGCTCCAGGAGTTGGTGTTTCCCCGATAGAGTCTCCACCTCGATCTGTTCGAGGAGTCTCAGCCCATCCACTTCCATGCCCAGGAGTATCTCTTTCTGTCTTGGGGGTCTCGTCCCATCTGTTTTTACGAGCGCTGGAAGTTGCACCGCCATGGCCTGGGGTTGCATGGCCTGGCGTATCGCCTCGTCCAGGAGTAGCGGCTCCCGCAGGTGTATGACTAGGTGTAGGATCCCATATTTTTGAACCTGGGGTTGCTCCAGGTGTTTCACTTCCTTTTGCACGACCTGGTGTCTCGTCCCATCTTAAAGAAGGGGTGTGCCCAGGGGTCTCTGCCTGATCCCAACTTGACAGCTTCTTGGGAGTGGCGCCAGGAGTCTGGTCAGCGGTCTGATCCCAGCGCCGCTTTCGTTTTGAGGGGGGCTGGGATGCTGCTGCCCCATTGACGACTTTTAGTTCTCCAGCTTTAGCTTTTTCTGCTAGTTGTTGCCTAATTTCTCTCTCTTCCTTAGTCAGATGTTGTTCCCGCATAACATCCATGTAAGTTCTGGCATTCATTTTAGGGTCAGGGGTCTTCCCTCCATCTGCAAAAGGATCAAGACGCTCTGGGGAAATTATCATGGTCCGCCTATGCTTTTTGTACTCATCTTCCCGGTCTGCAATCTTTGGAGGACGATGTTCAGCAAACGGGTCATACTGTTCTGTTGACTGTGGTATATCATTAAGCAATGCCACAGGGGCATGATATCCAGGCTTCTTCTGACCCAGCAAACTTGTAGATGATGAGTAGTCATCGTCATCATCTTCAAGTTCAGTTGCAGCAATTGATGTCACGTATCCAGCAAATCTGCTATCACTTCCGCCATAAATCTCTTGGTCATAATAACCTGTGGAATCAAGGCCCACTCCTTGGGCTTCATCAAGAGCTGCCTTCTTGCCCTGGATTTCTCGAATCTGTGCTTCAATATCTTCGTGAGTCTTGGCGATCTTCGCCATTTTGTCCACTCGAACACACAGACCTTCAGTTCGGTTTCTTTAACAGCAAGGTCCTTCCTTCTCTGTAAGTTCCCCTCAATAGTAGGGCCTGTTAGTCTTTACAGATTATGCTTTCATAGCTAGTCTTAGGGCTTTATCCCTCTATAAATATAAAAAGTACAAGTTACATTTACCATAAAGATATAAATTTATATTTTTCTATGACTGAATTTCTATTTCAAAACTCATCTCACTGGTGACATAGATAGAATCCTGATTTCTGGATGAACTAAGCCTATTCATGGTTTCCATTACCCTTTCTTCAAAGCTTTTTTGATATTTGGGGTAACAGGGAATGACAGGTAGATAGACTTATGTAGCATCCAGTCTTTGGGGTGAGAAAATATTTTACCCTCAGATAGTTCCCATCTAGGTTGACACTTTCTCAGCTCTGTGCTGTCTCGCCTGGGCACAGTGATCCAAACGCTTCCACTCTAGATTTCTTGGATCTATTTGGTTCTCTGGAACCCCAGTGATTGCAGTAGCCCTCTGAGTTTAAGCCTCCCAACACACCCTCAGCTCTAACGATTTCTCTAAGGATTCTCAGCTACTCCTCTGTACCACATACAGTGAGGTGGCCAGTCTCAGTATCCTGAACCTATGCATCTTTAACCCTTTCGACTCTTCTACTGTCGTATCATGGTGCTAATGCTTACCATCAGAGGTCACTGAAGACACAGTGCTGTTCTCTAATAGACTGGGCAGTCTATGCTTATCCTCAAATAGTCCCAGATTGTCTTCATTTGTCACATGTGTGTGCCTTGTTCCCACTCACCCACTCCTCTTTCCCCTGTTCTGACATATTATTTGGCTTCTGTGATTTAATAATTTGACATAGCAGAAATGTCTTCAAATCTATTTGGTACTCCATAGCAAGAATTTCTATTTTTGGCTTTGGCATTATGATAAATTCTCCCTCAAAAGAAAAACACATCAGCTAATACCCCAGCAAAGCATCCTGGATGCTCACAGTAGCCCTGCAGCATAAGTATAATAGGCTCTTTATGAAAGCTGAGGCTGGTTTTCTCAAGGTCATGAGCCCAGAATGAACAGATTTGGAACTGGACCCAGATTCTTGTGTTCACAGGCCTTCAGCTCTTAACCATCATCATCTCAGCAGCTCACCCTTCTAAACTTTATGAAATTTACATTTTTCATCCTTAAGTGATTCTGGCTTTACTTATTAGGAACATAATTATCAAACTTAATAACATCCTTGGCTAGTAAGTATCTCTTTTGTCTATTGGTGATATGTTTACAGATTTCATGGCTTGGCATTTCAGTCAGATGCAAATCCATGCTGTTAGTTTCAAATGTGTTGTTTCTTTTGTACTCTGTGTTTAATCTACATATTTCATTTTCATTAACCTAGAAGAAGTTTTTAATGTAGTTTTATAAGAACACCGTCTTTTTCTTCTCTGGCACCATGTCCCTGTATTTCCATTTTTCTCCACCTCAAAGAATTCATGTAAATTTTATTAATTCTCTTTCACGATAGTGTCCCTAATTAAAGTTGCCACTGTCCAATGTACGAGCATTTTTGGGAGGAGGATTCCCCCTTCACTGTAGTCTTCCAACTTTGAGCACATCCCTTGCTTCAAGGGAGTTTGAAAGAAAAATAACAGTCAATGACTTAGCACAGCCTTACCTCATGAGCAAGAAGGCGGATGGTTTTTCCGGTGTCTTTGAAACTCATGATTGGAAATAGATAGGTGGAAAACTTAAGGTAGAATGCCTTCTTCTTCCTACTATGTGTCCAAGCTTTTGGAAGCGTAGGAAGAGGGAAATAGAAGGAAGAAAAAACTAGTGGAAGTGGAGTAAAGAAGGGAAAAGGAGAGGGAGAATGAAATGGAGAACAAGAAGAGAAGGCAAGGAAGTGTGGGAAGGTGGGCAATAAGAAAAAAACAACTGAAACGTTTATAGATTAAAAAGTCAGAGTAAAATTCCAAGGCCATTAAGCCCATACTCTGTGAGTGGGTAGGAAGCGTACAGAGATTTTTATATGTTTTTAATTCACTATAGAGGACACTGCAGCACATGAAATCTTAACAGGTGAATACAATTGTATATTAAGTTGTGGGTAAGTACTTTCAGAGGTGTGTAGTTAGCATCGGTTGTCAACTTGCTAGGATATGAATCACCTAGGAGTCAAGTCTCCAGGCACACTGTGAGGGATTTGGCATTTGGCCATAGTTTTTGGGGAAGAGTCACATAAACGTGGGCAGCACCGTTCTTGGGGCTTGGATCCTCCGCACAAGCATTTATCACTCTCTGTTCCCAGGCAGTAGATGCAACGTTGACCTGGTTGAAGCTCCCACTGCCGTGTCTTCTTCACATGATGCCTTTATCTGGAGCTCCCGGCAAAACAATCCCTTTGAGCTGTTTTTGTCCACATGTTTTATCACAACAGCGTGAAAAGAAACTATGACAACATGCACTCTGAAGGAAATCATGGTTCTGGAGTCAAGGTTGCCTTATAAGAGAACAATATCAATGTCTGGGCAACTGGAAGTTAGAGTCAGTGGTCCATGTTGATGACAACCTGAGGTTGAGATATTTCACAATTGAGGCATTCACAATTCCATTTATTGCTACGCTGGTTAGAGTGCCCTTTAAGATATGTGCTGCAATGTATTCAAGTCAACAGAAAGTTACGTGTACCTACTATGGGCCACTCGATATTTTGAGTGCTAGGGATACTACAGTGTTAAATGCCCAGTCCCAGCTTTCAAGGCCTTATATGCTCGCAGTGGAAAAAGTTCATTTCTGACCCTTAATCTGGATTAAACTGTGTATTACAGCAAATATGTCTAAAATTCTGAAGCTAGCTAATGCATTCTGCTCATGAATAAGTAAATGACAACCACTTATATGGCAGGTTTGTTTATCTGTTCTTCACTCTCTCATTTAGGCACCAGTTAAATCAGTCTGTGGTGAATACTCTGGGAAATTGTATAGAATGCCACTATTTCTACATTAGAATCATCTGTGAAAAAAATATAGATTCTTTTGAAGATTTTTATTTTGCGAGGAAAGACTTCACCCTAGAAATATGTATTCTTAGCATATACACTGCAGACAATCGCTTATAGGAAAGGATTTTGGAAATAGTGCTGTAGAAGAGACTAAGATAAAGTAGATATGGATCGTAGTCACAAGGATTTTTACAACTCCTCAAACTTCTGATTAGATTTTCTTCTAACATTTGAAGAGGTAATTGAGATCACTTCATGTCTCAGTTCAATGGTACTATAAAGTAATGCCACTGATTTTTAGGTTACACTCAAAGTGGCTGCAGGATGTTCCAAAACCAAAGTTCCTAAAATTGTCAGTGTACTGTATTTTCAAGGTGACTAAGTTAAATTAGGAAAGTTTTGTTTGTTAGTGTTAGAAAACAGTATTGTTTAAGAGTCACAAGCTTTATGGTTTTAAGTATATAACTTTGAAACTAGAAGAGAGTTTGAATATAATTTTCCCAGACTAGCATGCATGAAGCCTTGGGATTTTATTGTTCATATATATATACATATATATATATATATATATATATATATATATATATATATATATATGAACAATATATATATGCTAGACAAAGTCCTACTACGTAATCCTGGCTAGCCTGGAACTTCTTCTGTAGACCAGGCTGGCTTTGAACTCAGAGATACACCTGCCTCTGCCTCCTATGTACCTGGGTTAAAGGTGTGGTTCATGATGTCTGGGGAAGCTCTGAGTTTGATCTCCAGAAATTCATACAATTGGACAAAAGTCAAGAATACATGTGGACCAAACATCAAGCTACCTTATCTTATTTCTCCATCCTGATTTGCTAAACAATCAATTCACTCCACCTTCACTCTCCCCATTCCTATGTAGTATATGCGTATTTCTACTGAGTCCTGCTGAAGCCTCTTGAGAAACAACCGGGAGTTCCCATGTCAGGAGCATCAGTTTCAGCTGGGAGCTTGTTAAAAGTGTACAGTTTCTGGACAGCTCAGATTTATTGAATCTAATTCCACATATAACAAGATCCCAGGGTGATTCATATGCACACTAAACCTGAGAAGCACCCGTCCATGATAAACATTAAGCATATATGAGACAAACATTTTACTTTCTGTAAAGACGTAAGAGCCAGGGAGACTATTAGATTTTAAAAGAGATTTAGAAGATGGCTGATCTTGTTGGGACTGCTAAGAAATATTTCGAATCTACAATTACATTATTGAATAACAGCTTTATTCTTGAAAGTAGTTTATGTTTGATCCTGCATGTAATATTTTATTTAATAATAATAAATAATAACAATTCCTACATAGATTTGTTTGCATATTACATTGTAAGTTTAAACTAGTAAGGTTTCAGCAGAAATGATTGCAGTACAGGGCATTTCTTGAGAATTAATGGTGTTAGAAGAAATAGCTGGCTTGAGACTGAAAGGCTGAAAGCAATTAATCCATCAAATCATTAATTCTTAGCACACGCCTTATGTTGAAGTTGCTATTGCTTCATCCACAGAGCACAGGGGAGAGAAAACCTGAGCTGCGATTCTATAGATATTTTCTCATGCTCTAGGCAGCTTCATTTTGTTGTTTGCTAATATTTTCTGGAGGCTCTCATAGGGAACCACTGCTTTCTTCATTAACCTCTCAAATTGCTCAAGGTTTGCAACACACAGCGCAGTATGATCTATTGCTGTTACCTCGGTGTTTCATTTGCTTCACCACGCTACCCCTTCTACATGCTAGAAATGTACTGTCAACTCTAAACTCATTATGCAAATACTACACCTAGGCACTATTATTCTGAATTCCATTAGCTCTTCTCCCCCATTAGCTGGGCCTCCTGTGAATAAGAAGTGTCAAATTACATATGTAGATTTGTGGGATAGGGGTGGGTGGGCTCCACTGAATGGTCTCCTGCAGAGTCAGCAGAAAATAATTGTATTTGAATCAAACCCTGCATCCTTTATGCTCTA